ATATGAACAAGAAAAAACAAATGAGGAGTTAGGTGATATACTTTATATATATTAGTGGAACATACTGTATGTGTCAGTATAACTTTCTGATATTTTCTAGCGTAGGTCCACAATACAAAAAGCTTGGGCTAAATGCTTTTCAAAATCAATTTTTAACAGCTATAATATATATATATCTTGTTGTTATAGCAGTTGTATCACATGGTGCAAAAGATTACAGAAAATCCAGGCTCAAGAAACACCTGCAAAAAATGTTAACATGTTAACGAACAAAAAAATAGGATTGACATCAGTATTACCATTAAAAGACACTATCTGCCAGTGTCAGTTCTGTGTTGATATACGGGTGCATTTGTATCTCTTACCTTTGCTCTTAAGCCCAGAGTGAGCAGTCTCATCTGTCTGTCAGTGAAGATGCCAGGGATGGCTTCAGATACCAGGGACACAAACCCCTCCACTTTCCCATAATGTGCTGTGTTCCTTTGGTGAACCACCTTCCACATCACAGCGGACATCAACTGCAGAGGTGGAACCAAGAGCCTCATCGAGGACAGGGGCAGGGCAGCCTCTGCAAGGAGGAGGAGGTGACCACAGCTTTATCATTCTTACTAATTATAATAATATGCTGCCACATTAAAGCAACTACACCATAATGTACAGTTTCCCCATCACTGGTAGAAACTTGTACTGATGAGTACATACAGGCTCTTTCAGGGGACAGGCCACAATTTACACACAACAACAATGTGGCCTGTTCATCTTTCTGCGCAAACATATTTGCACTATGATCAGGACATGGTCATATAAATCACAAAGCGTGACAAGAGTAGCAAAGACTGCATTGGCTGTTATTGTTTATGGACACTGTATGTTTTTCTAGCCTGTTGCCAATATGTTTTGTATTTTGATGTGTGTAGTGTTTTTAGTCATTTAACCACAGTGTGTCTTTTACTTGTTTATTAAAGATAAAACAGGAAGACAATCTCAACTAAAAGAGTTCTCCAAATTAAATTTCTCTTTAACTTGGTTTGGCCAGTTTCATTAGCCTCAGTTTAACTTATCGATAGTTCTGTAATATGCTTTCATACTGAACTAGATTGGGGCTAAAGACTCAACAATTCTTAACAGTGTTACAGAAGTATACATTTTAATTCTTCGGTTCATTATTTGCCCCAAATTAAATAAATGTACAAATGAACCGTAATAGCTTCTGGCAGCACGTTATATCTGCTTGGATAAAATACCCCCAAAATGATTCTGGCAGTTTAATAAATCAAAGCGAAGACGTTAACGTTAGCAGGCAAGCTAACAACATAGGAACAAAGCGATATGATATATAAAAAAAACGTTACCCATTTTATTCCCCCGAAGAGCTATAACAGTTGAGTGGACACTGAGGAATGTTTCCAGAGTTAAAACTAAAATCTTCTTCACTGTAATGACTAGCTGTTAAAACCCATTTAATCCCACTTCTCGCTGCTGTCACTCCACTGTCAATTTATGAAAATACAACTCAAACCCGCTTCCTGATCTTCTTCTTCGTGTTTTATATTCAGGTTGACATGTTGTTACTTTACCGCCACCCATTGCCTGCTACAAACAGTCCACTTGCAGCAGCTACACGGCACTTTTCAGGATGTAGGGCACAGTGGGGTCATACATAACACTTTTTTACACTTCTTTAGATAACATCAGCAGTATTTTAGTATGTCAACATCGCACAAGTGGCCAATGAGAGTGTATTATATCAGTTCGAAGTTATAAAATGAAATTACCCATATCCTCTGTGGTGTTTGGATGTTTCCACCTGTGTATAAAGTGAAAGAGTCAGTGAAATGATAATAATGAAGCAATGAATAAGAGTGCAAATGCAGTTTTTCACTGCATAAGGGTCACTGCATGATACATTATAAAATATCAATGTTCCAACTGGTTTCGCTATAACATTTAAGTTTGAATATGTAGCCTACTTTTCTGGACCAAATAATATGTCACTAACCTAATTTTAACAAGGCCTTTGTTAAATACCAGCTTATTTTACTTTTATTTTTAGGATTTGTGCTTATGTTGCCATTTAAGATTGGCAATATTGTATGAATGGCTTTACAAAGACCTTTGTGGATAAGCCTTCTTGCTTGCATATGGCACATGTCCAAATCTGCCTAGATCAGGCCGTCCTCACAAACGGAGTGACTGTGCAAGAAGGAGACTAGTGAGAGGGCCACCAAAACACCTACGACTACTCTGTAGGAGTTACAGGTAGTGATCACCTTTATCCTCAGAACTAAGAAATACCCTTACTTATTGATAACTGGAGACCCATCACACTCCAATGACTATAAAATTTTTGCCTCCATATTGGCAAAACATTTAACATCTGGTCTTAATGAAATAATTCATGAATCCCAATGTGGATTCATAAGTGGTCGGCATATCTCCAATAATATTCGGCTAGTCATTGATTTAGTCAACTATAAAGATCTTGATGGCAATCCCTTAATTTAATTTCAAAATGACTTTCTTTCCCTTCAAAAAGGGATACTGTGTCAAAGGCTTTCAAAAGGCCTTTGACACAGTATCCCACAGTTTTATCTTTGATGCCTTCAGTTCTTCAGGTTTGATAACTTTTTCATTAAAGCTATCAGAACTTTATATAATGGTAACAACAGCTCAGTGAAGTCGCCCTTTGGCACATCACCCAGATTTGACATTAAGAGAGGCATTCACCATGAGGGCTGTCATATCTCTCCTTACCTCTTCTTACTAGTACAAGTTCTTAATTTATTAATATATCAGCATCCCTTTAAACATAAACGATAAAAGATTAAACAACATCTTTATAAGAATCTCCCTCATTCCAAGAACAGCTGTTAAACATAAATGGGCATGCCAGACTCTTGATGGAAGAACATGGAACACTGTTTTTACTTTGCCCTACATATTTGTCTTGTCCAAAAAGCTAAAGAACTTTCCTTTAAAATCTTACATACATTTTACCCATTAAACTCTATTATTTGTAAATACATTCCAAACATAGAAGAAAAATGCACATGTGACAGTATTTTGGACTGACTTTTGTTTTGATGTCAAAACTTTTCTTGGTAAGGAAATTGTACTTAAAGAATATGATATATTATAAATTTTTGACAAGCCCCATTTCTCTAGCAATGAAAAATGTATTATTAATCTGTTCATTGTTTTGTCCAAATTCTTCATCCATAAAATTAAATTTTGAAAAAATCACCATCCTTTTCAACTTTTAAACAATCTGATCTTAACAATTACTCCCAAACACTGTCACAATTAAACCACCCTAACAAAAATGAACCAAAACCATTCCCCTCCTTAAACATTTTAATTTTATATCAGAATAGCTTTACCTTTTTGTATTTATCTCTTTGTTCTTTTTCTTTTCTTTGTTCTCACTTGTTTGGTTCTGTTGTTCTTTTTCACCTTGTTGTTATATGCCTACTTTTGTCCTGTTGTCCTCTTAATGCATGCTGTTATACATCTGTTGCAACGAGTGCTGAAAAATCTTGTATTGATTTGCACTGTTATTTTCTTTGTTTAATAAAAACACTAAAAAAATAAAAATAAAAATACACCCGCTTCAGTTTCTTGTTTTACTTAGCAACTCAGCTAATCATTCAGAATACATAGAACAGGACAGTATTTCCTATTTGGAGCTTAGCCCTGCTGCATTATGTTTAAAACAGAAGGGGAAGGTTTAGTCTAAAGGCAGACTCTGTAGTCTCAAGCATTTTAATGACTGATTTTGGATCAATCTATTGATATCCACCGATAAAAAGGAAAGCACTCAAATTTTTAAATCAACTTAAATCCACCCCCAGCCCCAGAGCCTTCCAAACCCAAGAGCTGAGCACAGAGTAGAGTCCCTTATATCATTTGGTGCTGAGACTAACTACCCCTCTCAGACACACACTGACTAGTCTCACAACAACAATGCATTCCAAACACCAATCAGAGTAAACCAAATTATGGACAATACTGAAAAGAAGAAAACAAAAGCCAAAGTAAGTTAGAATGTTACAGTATCTGGCCCTAAAAAGAGACTATGAACTGGCAGAATATCTCTACTGTCATAGATAAAAAGCAGAAAGAGATTGTAACCAAGTGCAGACTCACTGACCTCATATTACCAATCAAAAAACAGTTTGAAAGTTGAGGTTCAGATAGACATACACGTCCTCGTACAGTGTAAACATTCAGTAAAATCATTTTTAACTGTCCCAGTATTTCAATACTTCTAAATCAGGGTTTCCCAAAGTTTTCAGCCTGAGACCCACAAAATATTGTTGCAAAAGACCCACGACCCACTCACCCCACATGCAACATGCTGCACACAGAACAACGCACAGACGCAGGTTGATTGATCAAGCAGGTATAACAACAAACCGATCACTACCTAACAACCAAATGTTCATTTTAGTAATAAAGGTGTTTAATACAATATTTAAATGAAGGTGAGTAGTGAGAGACCTCCTAACAGTGTTTATGCTCAGTGTGTTGTCCTCATGAATTCCTCCAGCTCAGAAAACATATCAATCGGTCCCATTTCAACGCGTTGTATCCAGTGATCCGGATCTTATCATTCAGTGACATGATGCTTGTGTTTTCACCTTGCAACGACGTATTAAGTCCATTCAGTTTTTCGAAAATACTTGACAAATAAGCCAGTCTTGTGAGCCAGTCCGGATCAGTGAGGTGCTCAGCGAGCTGGGATCCCTGTTCAATAAAACATATGTGCACCTCATCTCGCAGCTCATACAGGCGGCTCAGTACGTTCCCTCACGAAAGCCACGTGACCTCAGTGTGGAGCAGCAGGCCCTGGTGCTCTGATCCCAGTTCGTTACAAAGAATGGCCAAAAGTCTCATATTAAGTGGGCGTGATCTTATGTAATTGACCATTTTTACCACAGTTTCAAGAACATAATTAAGCTCTACGTCCAGTGTTTTGGTAGCAAGAGCTTCTGATGGATAATGCAGTGCGTAAAGTTGATGTGAGGTGCCACTTGCATGACTCTTGCTTTTAGTCCTTTCTTTTTTCCCAGCATTGCACCTGCACCATCTGTGCACACAGCAATGCATTCGTTCCATGACAGACCCTGTTCTTTTAGATTTGTGTCAAGTTTATTGAAAATATCCTCACCTGTGCAAGTCCCTTCCAGCTGGGAGCAAAAGAGCATCTCTGTTAAGTTTTCCCTCAAAAATATCTAACGAAAGCAAGAAGCTGGGCAGCATTTGATACATCAGTAGATTCTAATTGTAAAGCATATCTCCCCTTCTTTACTCTTTCAATCAGCTGAGACTTAATGTCCTGAGCCATGTCTGTGATGCGACGGGCAACAGTCCGGTCAGACAGCGGCACTGACTCCAGGTCAGTGGCCTGTTTATCTCCATGCATAACCCGGCTCATCACTACAGCCGCAGGTTTAATTAAAGTTTCCCCGATTGTGTTTTGGCTTTTTGGCCCGTGCAATTAAATATGCCACCTCATATGAAGCCCTTTGAGCTTTGGCAGTTATTGTAGTCTGTTTGGTTAAGAATTTCCTTTGTCCTCGTAACTCTCCTTCTTTTCTGCGGAAAAAATCAACGGGTTTACCAGCAAGACTGGGATGCTTGGTGTTCAGGTGTCATAGCATCTTTACAGGCTTAAAGCTTTCATGTGCCAGAACCTACACACTGGGGATGTTGTACCTCGTTTATGACGAACAGTTATAAGCTAGATGTAAAAAAGTAGCTGTGGTGGTCGCTTGTCACTGTGGTGCTGTAAATAGATGCGTGATTGATGGTGTCGTTCATTTGTCATAACCACCTCCCGTCAGAGACATAGTATTTAGGCCTAATAGTTCTACTGTTTTCTGTTATTTTAAATAAACATGTTTATGTCCATATTATGCAGTTCATTCATTCATTCATTTTCTACCGCTTAGTCCCTGAACGGGGTCACGGGGGGGTGGGCCGGAGCCTATCCCAGCCGGCAATCGGGCGAAGGCGAGGTACACCCTGGACAGGTTGCCAATCCATCGCAGGGCTAACACATAGACGAACAACCACACATGCGCACACGCACTCCTATGGGCAAGTTAGAGACACCAATCAACCAAGTAATATACTAAAGAATTATTACATAGTGTTAACATTCTTACACCACACCCACAATGTTCCACCTAATTAATCATTAAACCTGTTCTTGCATATATCTTGATTGACACATACCTTTATACTTATGTTTAAACT